GATCGCGGAAATGGAGGAGCTGATCTCAGTGGCGAAAGAACACCCCGAGCGATTCAGGAAGACATGGGCATGTTGGACTCACTTCCTATCTACTGAGACTTATCATGGCTTAATGAAGGAATGAGCGAGAAGATTTGGTAAACTGGAGAACCTCTAGAACTTTCACCCCAGGAATAATTCCTTTACTGGACTTTAAAGAGATTATAACCTTAATTTAAGACAGCATCTGTTATAACCAGGCCGATACTATGTGATGTGATTGGTTTAGTTATACTTATTTAATTCTAATCCCCCCCCCCACCCCCCCCCCCCCCCCTTTTTTTTTTTTTTTTTTTTTTTTTTCTCTCCCCCTATTTATATGTCTTCCTTGTCCCACTCCTCCTCACTCTGATATTACTTCCCATACTCCTTTTCCATTTCCACTCGAGTCTCTTTCTTTTCTTTTCTTTCTCGTTTTAGCAACCCTTTTTCTCACATTCTAAATAGCAATATTATTTACAAGGATCAGAACACTTCTAGATGTACAAGTGTGATAATACTTTAGAAAACTAACCCACGATTTTTGGATACGGATATAGCAGACATATGTGCCTTGAGATATTACGTTTGTCTTGCGCCTCATAGTCTTGCTGCTTGAGCTCTCTCTACATAGAGACTAATGTATACCATATTTATCGAACATTACAGATGGTATATATTATTACTATGGTTATACTTTTTGCATATGCTTTATTGTGGGAATTGGATGCATGTTGCTCTAAAATCTATTCTAACGTCCTATTCCCGTCTGCGATACGGGAGAACATATATGAAGATGTGCACGGACTGCGATCCGTATCTGTCTATGATCTGTTTTGTCTTTCTTACTTCAATAAAACTTTTTTGGAATAAAAAAAAAAAAGTTCATTGCCTATCTGTATGCAATTGCACTGCATGTTGGCAGATTGTATGCAGATTGTAAAGGTAACAGGTCTGCCAGACGGAGATCTGTGTGTGTGTGGTGTCCCAGCAGGCCAGTAAAACTTTTGGGTGGTGGCAAGCTACCATTTGTGGTGTGTCTGGTGTGGGGGTGTGTGGACAGTGGAAGAGTGTTTAACACCGGGGTTCTGGCTTGGAGGATAGCTGGAGGAATCCTAGAAGGGTGTGTCGATCACTAGGCTGCTCCTCAACCCTAATTAGTGCACCAGATTGTATGTAAGATCATATCTGCCTGTGTGTGTGGTCAGCTAGCTGGATTGGAGTGGAGTCTCCCTCCAGTGTTGGCCAGAGGTAGTGCGGGCTGTGAAAGTATATCACGGCCTGTCTTATATACTTATATGTATTCAGATTAAGTCCCCCTTATTCCCTCTTACCCCAAGTCGCGGCCACACGTGCGCGCCTCGGTTAGCTAGTCGCTGTGGGCGTGTGCGTGTGGGTTGGATCCGTGACACTGATTGATTCCCCTATGTTCATGTATTCATTCACCTAGCTTGTTCTTAGTTACTAAAGGGACAGGCCATGTCTTGTTTCCAGGTCACATAGCTTTCAGCATATGACTAGACATTTCCTCTAGCATCAGAAATGTAGGAGTGCTAATGTAATGAAACAGGGATTTCTGTTAATTGCTTTGTCTGCTTATGTCTGGGTCAGATCTAACTAGCTCTCCTCTGCACCAATGCTAGACTGAGAGAGCCAGAGATTGTGGGATATGCAGTTTCTTCATAAGAAGTGTCAGTTCTCCTGACTACAGACAGAGGCCATGCACTAGCCAGTGCAGTGTCATACAGCGTGCCTCATGTTTGAATACAAACTGAAATTTCTGACAACAGAATGTGAAGATTTACTCTTCAAATGACAAATGACACCCTAAAACTACATGATCAATGCACATCTTATGCAGGTGAAAAACTCAAAGTGCAGGCAAGAAAGTTATAATACCTTTAGGCTTCTATGTGCAGCAAAGCCAGCCTTCTAAACACATCACTTTACAATCAGTTTCCAAGGACTGGCTATTCTGCATAGGATTTAGGAAGATGTAATATTCTTGGCTAGATTGTGACCAGGGGCGGACTGACAACTCATGGGATCCCGGGCAATAGGGGATCATGGGGCCCCTGTGTCCTTGCCCAAACTCAAAAAAGCCTATGAAAAAAGGTACCAGGGGCATCTCATGGGGCCCCCTACTGACCCGGGCCCTCGGCCAGTGCCCGAGTTTCCAAATGGCCAGTCCGCCCCTGATCGTGACACAAATAGGTAAGAAGAGCAACTCTCCAAGCACTGGTAGGCTCAAAGCTGCTTGAAATTGCTGCTGTAGTGAGCCTTCAGTTGGGAGGAAACCCACAGCGACTTGTTTGATATACCACAGAGTGGATCTATAACTGTAGTGGAGAGTTGAAAAAATGTTGGGCATTAGTCACTTTTCAGATGTTTTATTTGCCTCAGGGTCACAACAGAGAGGGTTAGAGCTTTGAATTCTCCAGCAACATACAGTCATGGCCGAAATTGTTGGCAACCCTTGACATTTTCCTGAAAATCAAGTATTTCACACAAAAAGGTATTGCATTAACACATGTTTTGCTATACACATGTTTATTCCCTTTGTATGTATTGGAACAAATATAAAACAGAGGCAGAAAAGCAAATATGACATAATGTCACACAAAACCCCAAAAATGGCTGGACAAAAGTATTGGCACCCTTAACTAATATTTGTTGCACACCCTTTGGCATAAGAAATCAGTCGCTTCCTATAACCATCAATAAGCTTCTGACACCTTCAAGGAATTTTGGACCACTCTTCCTTTGCAAACAGCTCCAGGTCTCTCTTATTGGAAGGACACCTTTTCCCAACAGCAATTTTAAGATCTCTCCACAGGTGTTCAATGGGATTTAGATCTGGGCTCATTGCTGGCCACTTCAGAACTCTGCTTCTTTGCCATCCATTTCTGAGTGCTTTTTGACGTATGTTTGGGGTCATTGTCCTGCTGGAAGACCCAGGATCTTGGACGCAAACCCAGCTTTCTGACACTGGGCCCTACAGTGCGACCCAAAATCCTTTGGTATCCTCAGATTTCATGATGCCTTGCACACAGTCAAGGCACCCAGTGCCAGAGGCAGCAAAACAACCCCAAAACATCATTGAACCTCCACCATATTTTTACCGTAGGTACTGTGTTTTGTTCTTTGTAGGCCTCATTTCCGTTTTCGGTAAACAGTAGAAATGATGTGCTTTACCGAAAAGCTCTATCTTGGTCTCATCTGTCCACAAGACGTTTTCCCAAAAGGCTTTTGGCTTACTCAAGTACATTGGCAAAACTGTAGTCTTGCTTTTTTATGTCTCCTGTGTCAGCAGTGGGGGACCTCCTGGGTCTCCTGCCATAGCGTTTCATTTCATTTAAATGTCGACGGATAGTTCGCGCTGACACTGATGCTCCCAGAGCCTGCAGGACAGCTTGAATGTCTTTGGAACATGTTTGGGGCTGCTTATCCACCATCCGGACTATTCTGCGTTGCAATCTTTCATCATAATTTTCCTCATCCGTCCACGACCAGGGAGATTAGCTACAGTGCCATGGGTTGCAAACTTCTTGATAATGTTGCGCACTGTGGACAAAGGCTGTTCTCTGGAGATGAGTAACCTTGAGATTGTTGATATTTTGCCACAATTTTGGTTCTCCAGGTCCTCAGACAGTTCTCGTCTCCTCTTTCTTGTCCATGCTTAGTGTGGCACAGACAGACACACAATGCAAATTAAGTGAACGTCTCTCCTTTTTTATCTGCTTTCAGGTGTGATTTCTATATGCCCACACCTGTAGTGAGTTTACAGGAGCATCACATGTTGTAACATTCTTATTTATCCGCAGTTTGTGAAAGGGTGCCAATACTTTTGTCCAGCCCATTTTTGGAGGTTTGTGTGACATTATGTCGAATTTGCTTTCTTTCCTCCCTTTTTTTGTTTTGTCCCAATACACACAAAGGGGAATAAACATGTGTATAGCAAAAGGTGTTAATGCAATAGTTTTTGAGAAATACATTTCCCTGGAGAAATATCAAGGGTGCAACAATTTCGGCCATGACTGTATATTCCAGAGTCCAATCACACTCCTGCTGCTGCATAAAGAGAACATGAACCATGGTGTATTGCAAAAAATAAGGAGAATCGGCAGCATTGTCTTTAGAGCTCCACAGCCAGGCAGTAGTTAACTTCTTGCATCCTCTCTAAAGAAAATACCAAGTTCCTCTGAAGAAGACTCCATCCCCCTCCAGCAGGACTTCTTCTGACTCTCCACCTTGGTTGCTGTATCTACCTCGACTAGGCAGGACAGCTTGAGGATTCTGTGCTAGACCCAAACAGGCCAGAGCCCAAAGAGAAAGAGAACTCAACAAGACACTTCCAACTCCAATGGTGCAAGAGTCCAAAAGGATCATTTATATATGCCTACAGTATTCAAGGTAACAAGTCAATAGGTTTCAGGGGGTAGAGAGCACCCAGCCCACACACCCTTCATCAAAGCTATAGAATTATATATGATAAAGTGGTTTTAGGAGGAACACAAATTTTGTGCTGGTAATCAAGATAAAAATGCCAAAGTACTGAACAGTATTCAAATCTTTAGACAGTTTACATGACTTGCCTAGTAATACAATGTGCCTGTAGATTTGAATTGTGTAAAGTTCTTTGGCAAAAAAAAAATATAAACAATAATAATAATAATAGTAATTTAAGGACATTTGTGTTTCAGATAGAAATAGAAAGGTAATAGTTTGCAGTAACATTCCAATATTATCTAGCATACTACAGCATAGTGTTTTTAACTGCTTCCCATCTGCTCTATAGCAGAAATACTGCTACAGGGCAGCACGGGTGTGCAAAATAATGTATATATATGTGATTTTGCATTTCCAGGTAGGGGGCACGTGCAAGGTATGTGAGCACCCTACCTGCGCCACCATTCGTGGCCGTGGCTGTCGATCACCTGGTCCCGGCCCGTTTGTAAACAAAATAGTTCTCCTCCCTGTCAGCCTGTGCACATTGCACAAAGCAGTGCGCTTACAGTGAAGCACAAACATATGGCCCCCTAGTAAAACACACCCAGCACACAGTTAACCCTTTGATCACCCCTCATGTTAACCCCTTCCTGCCCAGTGCCATTAGTACAGTGTCAGTGCTTTTTTTTAGCACTGATCACTGTATTGGTGTCACTGGGGATGTCAGTGACATCAAGTCAGTTCCCCCCAGTGTCAGAATGCCTGCCGTAGTCCTGCTATAAGTCGCTGATTGCCGCCATTACTAGTAAAAATAAAAAATAAAAATTCCAGTATATATAGCGCTACTTGTAAAAGCTATAATTTTCACGTAAACCAAGTAATTTACACGTATTGGGATTTTTTATTAGCAAAGACATGTAGCAGAATACATTTTGGCCTAAATTTATGACATTTGATTTTTAAATTTTTTTTACTTGACATGTGTAATAGCAAAAAGTCAAAAATATAGTTTTTTTCTCAAAATTGTTAGTCTTTTTTTTTTAGAGTGAAAAAATAAAAAAAAAGCACAGGCGATCGGATACCACCAAAAGAAATCTCAATTCATGGGAAAAAAAGGACGTAAATTAAATTTGGGTGAAGCATTGCATGACCGCGCAATTGTCAGTTAAAGTAACGCAGCGCCTTAATGCAAAAAACGACCTGGTCAGGAAAGGGGGTGAATCCTCCAGAGGGTAAGTGGTTAATATACAGGCATTGTTTGTATATCGTTATTTATTGCCTTGCGATATTGGATATTCCTGGTTGAGATTCCAGGGATGATATCACGATTGGCTGTATGTTATAACCTTGCAGCTGTCCTCAATTGTTTTATTCATTTAGCCACCTGTTTTTTGTCTATCCACACACGATTTGACCTCTTCAAGCACACAAATTAGGTCACAGTAACTTAGATTTGTGTCTTCATGTACATATAAAAATTGTTAAAAGCCCTACAACAATTGCATTGTTTTACTAAGCTGTATAGGTTATTTCATGGAATAGGTAATGAGCCGAATTATCAGACAAGAGGTAACTTTAACTTGCAGTTTACTAAACAGGTACAAAGTTAGAAGTGTCAATACAAAACAGGGTCAGGATGGCAAAAAACATGCATATACTACAAATAGATAAATGATACAGAATAATGAACAGATGTTAAAGCTGAACAAACATGGACTCCTCACAGTAATTTCTCTATGACTTAAAGTGAATATCTAGGTATGGATATTTTATACATAGTTATGTAGACATGTGTGATTTGTTTTGTTACAAATCTAAATTCAGACAATATTTTCTTTATTCTGAGATTTGGGCGTATGCAAATTTTCGACTCGCAATAGTAACGAATTTCAATGAATCCAAAATAATTGTTAATAAAACAAATTATCCGAATTGAAATTCGAAAATTAATTTGAATTGAAAATAAATTTGAATTTGAAATGGAAATAAATGCAATAAATACACTAAGGTATTTATAGTAATAGTAAAAAGATGGTGATTTCTACTTAGGCTGCTGAATAGAATAGAATAGAATAGAATAGAATTGAATAGAATAGAAAATAAAACGATAGAATAGATTGGAAAAGGATAAAACAGAATAGGATAGAAAATAAAAGAAGAATGAATAGATAAGAATAGAATAGAGTAGAATGGAATAGAAAAGAACAGAACAGAAAAAATAGAGCAAATATAGTCGTCTTCCAAAATGTTGATTTTGAATCAATTTGAAAATAACGAATATAAAAAACAAATCCTACTATATGAAACAAATTCTGAAAACAAATCAATCAAAACATAAATTATATGATGAAATTAGATTATTAACTTAACGAACGCATCTGACATTAAACACATTTTTTTAATTGTACACATCTCTATAGTTTATGTTGGTCCAGCTTGGAGGGGAGAAGATGCTGCGAGGACCAGTCTGATGCTTTTTCTCACCACTCATGTATACTAGGGGCATGCATTTGTGTGGCTGCGAGCAGGAAATGCTTCAGTTGCTTATGGTTGGCCAAGAATAGTGACAACATCTTGGTGGGATTTAGACTGGGATTCTAATACTTTATTAGCAGTTACAGCAAACAGTTTTTTCCCTTTTTGGATAAAGGTTTTCTATAAATAAATAAAAAATTCTGAGCATTGTAAGGACCACTATCAGTATAAATGTTTTGTCTCATCTCTGTAACTGATACATTCTGCTGGAGAGCTTGATCTTTTGAAAAACAACAGACTTACTGGCTGGATCACCAGATGAAAATAGAAGAAAGGGAGTCTAAAAAAAAGAAAATGAATGCAGCCATCATACTTAAGAAATGGTAAGCTGCAATATAATACATGTTTGCTTTGGGGTTTAATACCAGTTTAATAGTTTAATCTTGTTATGCATGGGTTGATGACAGGGTCTCTTTAAAGTCATTACCAGCTTTTTTACTACTGAAACAAACTTTAGTGCAACTTCTTTTATGTAATGGCAGATAGCCTTACTACATTTTACAAAACAATCATCAATTTTAATTTATGATCTGATTTTTATGATGACTTTCTCCTGATGATGCATAGAATGCATTTTACATAATGAAATTGATGTTTGTGTGGGTGCAGAACACCTGACTCCATCAATAAAAATTCATTTATTAATAAATGACTCCTGAATGGATCAGTAAGGAGGCTCCACTTTAAATTACAAAACTTATTTTTTGGCCCCTTAAAATTTCATCTCCAACCACTTCTGCCTGATACAGATTACATTGAATCATTTGCCTGATTGATAACAGGAAAAGATAGGACTTGATGCAGGTTTTTTTTGGAAGTGGATTGGTAATTGCATTCACTCTAACTAATAGTTTGCAGCTGTATGCTAATAACTCATCGCTGATCAAATATGATAATTTTCTCATGAATAAATGCTTCTTTTCTACTTTTAAAACTTGCCATCCACCTGTGATGAAGAACCGTACAGTCTAACTACAAGGTTTTGAATTCATTACGAAATTAAGTTGTTTTACTCTGTGGCTTTTTGAATAAACTTAGCTAAAAATATCCGCTAATATAAAAGAAGTAAAACGTACCTTGCAATGGAAAGTAATACAGTTGGGAATCCTGAGAGTCCTTTCAGCTGAATAGCTGGAATATAACCACCCTCGTCTCTAACACCTGTTCCTTTATATAAGCGAGTGAATTTGCCATAAACAAAACAGAAAGTCTACGTCCACTGCCTAAAGCATATCTCCATCCAAACTTTTTTAGTTTTGAAATGGGGAAGGGTTGTCAGGATATTATTCCAGGTAGGTATAGGGAAAACAAGAATGCCACATCCAAGGTTAATGGCCTGTCCATTCTTGTGTGCTGTGCTAATGCAGGTGTGTTAAAGTAGAAGTTAAGTCTTCTTAAAAACTGTGAGCAGGCTGGTTTTTATTGCAGAAGATAGGAGCAATGGGGTTGATTTACTAAAGGCAAATAGGCACCATACAAGTGCCCCAGAGCTTTGTAAATGAGATAAAGATTCACTTTGAAAAGAATACCCAATCATGTGCAAGGAAAATTTAAAAAAGCACTTTTGCTTGCACATGATTGGATGATGGAAGTCAGCAGAGTTTCTGCTCATTTATTAAACTCTGGAGCAACTGCTCTTGCAAAGTGCACAGTCTATTTGCCTTTAGTAAATCAACCCCTATGTCTCTTCTGCAATAAAATAAACCTACTCACCTGCTTGCAGTTTTCTTTAGAATGTACACTGAGCTTCACAAGCTGTGTGCTGGGATGACTGAACTTCTTCGCAAGTGCAGGGGAGATGTCATCCAATCATGGTGGTCACAACCGGAAGAAGCCAGGCACAAGACATCAAATTGTTGAAGGAAAGGTAAGTATTGGGGACTTCAGTTCCGCTTTAAAGTACGTTGTGTCATTACAAAAAATGTGTTACTCCTGTGCTACCAATACAATAAACTAAATAAATACATGAATACAACCTCTGCTCACATCCAAGTGTGTTTCCACACCTATATACAGTGGGGATCGAAAGTTTGGGCACCCCAGCTAAAAATTTGTATTAATGTGCACAAAGAAGCCAAGGACAGATGGAAAAATCTCCAAAAGGCATCAAATTACAGATTAGACATTCTTATAATATGTCAACAAAAGTTAGATTTTATTTCCATCATTTACACTTTCAAAATAACAGAAAACAAAAAAATGGCGTCTGCAAAAGTTTGGGCACCCTGCAGAGTTAATATCTTGTACTGCCCCCTTTGGCAAGTATCACAGCTTGTAAACGCTTTTTGTAGCCAGCCAAGAGTCTTTCAATTCTTGTTTGAGGTATCTTTGACCATTCTTCCTTACAAAAGTCTTCCAGTTCTTTGAGATTTCTGGGCTGTCTGTCACGCACTGCTCTTTTAAGGTCTATCCATAGATTTTCAATTATGTTGAGGTCAGGAGATTGTGAAGGCCATGGCAAAACCTTCAGTTTACGCCTCTTGATGTAATCCCCTGTGGATTTCGAGGCGTGTTTAGGATCATTTTCCATTTGTAGAAGCCATCCTCTCTTTAACTTCAGCTTTTTCACAGATGGCATCAAGTTACCATCCAAAATTTGCGGAAATTTTATTGAATCCATTTTTCCTTCTACTCGTGAGATGTTCCCTGTGCCACTGGCTGCAACACAACCCAAAAGCATGATTGATCCAACCCCATGCTTAACAGTTGGACAGAGGTTCTTTTCATTAAATTCTGTGCCCCTTCTTTTTCAAACGTACCTTTGCTCATTCCGGCCAAAAAGTTCAATTTTAACCTCATCGGTCCACAGAACTTGTTTCCAAAATGCATCAGGCTTGTCTATATGTTCATTTGCAAAGTTCAAACGATGATTTTTGTGGTGAGGACGTAGAAGAGGTTTTCTTCTGATGACTCTTCCATGAAGACCATATTTGTACAAGTATCTCTTTATAGTGGAATAGTGTACCACAACTCCAGTGTCTGCCAGATCTTTCTGGAGGGATCGTGCAGTCAAATGTGGGTTTTGAATTGTTTTTCTCACAATCCTGCGAGCTTTTCTGTCTGATATTTTTCTTGGTCTTCCAGATCTTGCTTTAACTTCCAATGTTCCTGATGACTGCCATTTCTTAATTACATTCCGAACAGAGGATATTGACATCTGAAAACGCTTTGCTATCTTCTTATAGCCTTCTCCAGCTTTGTGAGCGTCAACTATTTTCAGTTTCAGTTTTCTAGACAACTGCTTAGAAGAACCCATGGTGCTGATTGTTGGGGCAAGGTCAGATGAGTCTAGGCATTTAAAACCTTTGAGAATGACATCACCTGGTCTTCCCAGACGATGATTGAGAACA